GGGATCATGACCTGAGCCGAAGGCAGACGCTTAACAACTGAGCCACCCAGGGACCCCTACCCTATATATTTTTTTAAGTCTTTTTCACATTTGTGGCTGATTCTTTGGTACTTAACACTCAGTGATAGCTCTTTCTTTAATAACATTATTTCATCAGGCTAACTCTGTTTATAAGCATAGAAGTGAATAGAGGTAAGAGAATTTTAGAAGAGATGGAACTGTACTTAATCGACTAATTCAACATTTGAAATGCTCTTCTTTCTGTTGGTACATGTTTAGATATTGTTATAATGGAAACCGTAAATCACTGGAATGTTTTAACAAAGGAATGACTTAGTTATTCTAAATTTTGGTTAACTTTTCCCCACTTTACTTTTTGCCATAACAATACAATCTGGACATCTTCTGTATTGTTACATGTAAAAGTCACCTCATCCCTTTTAATACTTGCACAGTATTCTAATAGATGGACATATCTTGATTTAACTAGCTCCATCCTTAACAGATATATAATAATTTCCAGAAAGTTTTAGGATTGTTACCTGATCATTATTAAATTCTATAAATGCAAAAACCGCATTTAGAGTATGTGTTGAAAATTAGTGTTCTAATTTTTTTTTAATATTTTAGTGTCTTGTTATTTTTATCTTTTATAAAAAGTTGAGTGAGAAAATAATTTCTGGATACACGAGAGTTCTGATTTGTTGAATCTTATATGTTGTCAGAAGCTGTACTGGGACCATCAGCATTTTATTAAGTGAACTACTTACACCTTTTTTAAAAATAAAAATTAGAGGTAATACATGAATACCTACATACTATAATTCCAATAATAGAGAAATAAATATAGTAAAAAGTGGAAGTATATCTACCCATCTTCCTTTTAGAAATCACCACTGATGTATATTCTAGACTTTTTTTTTTTTTTTTAAAGATTTTATTTATTTATTTGACAGAGACAGAGATAGCGAGAGCAGGAACACAAGCCCCGGGAGTGGGAGAGGGAGAGCAGGCTTCCCGCCGAGGAGGGAACCCGATGTGGGACTCGATCCCAGGACCCTGGGATCATGACCTGAGCCGAAGGCAGACGCTTAACGACTGAGCCACCCAGGCGCCCTAGACTTTTTTTTTATACCCTGATATGTGGGTGTATGAATGCATACATAATCATATATAAATATATAAGTTTTTAAAAAGATTTTATTTATTTATTTGAGAGAGAGAGAGCGCAAATGGAGGGAGGAGCAAAGGGAGAGGAACAAGCAGACTCCATGCTCAGCGGGGAGCCTGATATGGGGGCTTGATCCCATGACCCTGAGATCATGACCTGAGCCAAAATCAAGAGTTGGATGTTTAACTGACTGAGCCACCCAGGTGCCCCATAAACATATAGTTTTATTTTGTTTTTGATGTATATGGGATTATTTTAGGTTGAACCATATGAAAATGCCAGTATTCAACAATTTTTTTTTTTTAACCTACAAAAAAAGGGCACTTTCTTTTTCAACCTAATGCTACAAATACTGTTACTACTTTTTTTTTTCACCTATGTTACTACTTTTGTTTTTCACCTATGTCTTCAGGACCTTTCTATTTTACTACTTTCGGACCTACCAACAACAGCATTTTTTTTTAAGATTTTATTTATTTTTATTTAGAGAGCAAAAGAGAGAATTTGAGCAGGAGGAGGGGCAGAGGGAAAGGGAGAGAGAGAATCCCAAGCGGAGTCCATGCCCAACATGGGGCTCAAGATATGACCTGAGCCAAAATCAAGAGTCAGTTACCCAGGTTCCCCCAATGACAGCATTCTTAAAGGGAGAAGGTGCCAGTTTTCTCCTTCCCTGTTAATACTACTCTTATTTCCATTTTTCTCTTTTTTTCTTGAAGGCAGCAGAGGAAGTTGGATATCCAGTAATGATCAAGGCCTCAGAAGGAGGAGGAGGGAAAGGAATCAGAAAAGTCAACAATGCAGATGACTTTCCTAACCTTTTCAGACAGGTAGAATACAAGTTGTTTTTGTTTGTTTGAATTTACATGTATGTCAGAGATATATCAGAGATACATGATATAACTCACAGTATATATATAAACTGTTACGTTGTACACCAAAAACTAATATAATGTTGTATATCAATTATACCTCAATAAAATAGAAGATAATAAGTCATCATATAATTTGGATGTCCAGAAAATATTTAATTTTCTCTGTAAGTACTCTAGTCTTTCTCTCTAGCTCCTACCTCCTTATTAGCAATGTCCAGTTCAGTGTAAGGTTTTATTCACTAAGGTAACTCAAACAATAGTTCCTCACTCTGTGTAAAAGTGCTCAGTTTCTCAGATAGCTCTTCCCTGTATGGTGCATGTGGAAGAGACACTAGTAAAAGATTGTGCAAAGTAAGATTGTGCCTTTCTACCTTTTTGTGTCACTGTAAAGTATGCGGTTAACTCTTATTCTGGTTGCTCTTGGCTTGGCCAGACTCAGGCTCTCTGATTGAGTTTATCTTACTTTAGTTCAAATTGGCTGCAGGCTCCTGAGTTTTTGCTGTGTGTACCAACTACCGGGCCAGCTCTGCAGTCTACACCCTAGTCTGTGCTGCCTGGGCACCACACGCGACACCCTATGGCAGGTTCACATTCTATAACTGAGGATGGTTAGGAAAGCTAAACCTCAAATCTCTGTCCGTCTAACCCTCTGGTTTGCAGCCAAGTGGTGTAGCCATACTACAAGTTAGTTGTGGAGGCCAAAAAAATGATCTCTTTTCAGAATCTTAGATAATTGGTAGACAAAAGTCTCTTCTTTCCTGCCCTAGAGCTACCCTCACATACTTGACTCATACTTTTTTTCTCCTACCAGAAAAAGAGGAATCAGAAAAAGGAAAATTGGGACACATTCTGGCCTTTCACTCTCCTAGCTTCCCACTGTTCTTATTTTTCCCAGCATTTTTACTTTGCACAATCTTTTACTAGTGTCTCTAGCCACCTTCTGTTTGCCCTCTTTTTTTTTTAAAACCATTCAACAGCAAACTGATAAAGGTGATAAAGGTGTTGTTTTGCTGCATTGTCCTATTTTGAATGTCAAAATTCAAATATTACCCTTCTTTTTCTTTATATTCCTTTTGTAGTTTATCTAATTTCATAGGTAGATCAATGCCTCATGGGGTCTAAAGAAAAGGTCTTTTGCTCTTAGAAGCAAAAGAAAAAGCATGTTAATTTTTTAAAAATACAAGTCCTTTAGATGTTTCAAAACTACTTATTACTGTGGAATCAAATAGTTGAAGAATCTAGAACACTAAGATTAGGAAGTTTTACGTGAAAGTCCTCAAGTTCCAATAATGATTAATTAAATAACAAACCAATCATCCCATTGAGAACAAACTAGAAAAGCTGGACAAATTTTTTTTTTTAAAATCTATTTTAAGGCATTAGAAACCTTTCAAGACAATAAAGAGTAATGGGGCTAAGGTATAAGAGAAGAAGGAAACCTGAGGAGGTGGCATTTGAGACCACTTTTTCCCTAGAGATATCTTCTGGTTTGAGAAGAAGGAGTTAAAAAGCTGATTGGAGTTTTCAACAGTTTTACAAGACTAAAAGGATAAAACTTAGCCTTTAGAGTTTGCTAAGGAGGATTCCCTGGGAAACCCTCCCACATTTTAGGTTGGGATCTTGAAGGGACTATACCTTAGGAGTAAAAATAAACTGGAAATAGACCAACCTTCACAGGGACTAAATCTCAGCTTCAAAATACTCAACCTTTGATTCACGCAAGGGGTTCTAGGATTGCTAGTGTCACTAGCCACCAGAAAGAAGCAAATATAATAACATCCAGAACCTCAAATTATTTCTATTTATTTTTCAAATGAAGTTTCAAATAGCCATTTCAAAGTAAGCAAGCATATCAAATTACATGACTGAAAATCAAGAAAAATAAAAGTCAGTTTTAAAGGGACCCACAGAGAATTTAGGTAATGGATCTATCAGACAAGGATTTTAAAGTAACTATACTTAATGTATTCAAGGAAATTAAAGATAAGAATTTGGTTGGAAAACTGGAAACGATAAAGAAGAAACAAATTCTAGAACTGAAAATACAGTAACTAAAAATAAGAAGTCAATAGAGGAGTTTAATAGCATGTTAGATGCAGTTGAAGAGAGAATTAGTGACTGGAAGATAGAAGAAAATTCAGACCGAAGCATGAAGAGACAAAAGGATGAAAAATACAGAAAAGAGCATGTAAGAGATTATTTGCAAAGATGAACATGATGACTCCTCCCATCTCTCTATACAGACCTCTATGATTTTTGCCTCTCCTCCCATCAAGAAAGACTGTCTTTTTTCCCCACTCTTTGAAGTTTGGCTAACCCTATGACTTGTTTTAGCCAAGAGAATGTAGCAGAAATGATGTATAAGTTCTGAAGTCTAAACCTCATTTCTGCCCTTGCCCTCTTGAATTGAGCCTCATACTGACAAGTGAAGAAACCAGTCTAGCCTTTTGGAGAAAGAGAGGCTGCATGATGTAGAGATGATTTGTCCCAGCTGAGACTTCCTAGATCTACATGCTGACAGCATCACATTTGAGACAAGCAAGTGAGATCCTATTAGACCATCCAACCCCAGTCAAGTTGCCAGATGACTACAGCTGCATGAGTAGCTCCTGCCAAGATCAGCAGAACTACCCAACTGTGCCCCATTCAAATTGCTATAAGCAAATAAAATAAAATGGTCGGTGTCCTAAGTTACTAAATTTTTGGTGGTTTGTTAGGCATCAGTGGGTAACTGCCACAGAAATTGCTACCCCAAAGGTGTGATGCTGCCACAACAAAAAAGTAAAATATGTGCACTGGCTTTAAGACTGGCTCATAGGTGGAGGCCAAAAAAATGATGAGATTATTCATGAAGGCTGGAGGAATGATGAACAGACTGTTAGTGGAGGCTGGATAGGCTGTGAGGGAATTAATAGTAGAGTCTGATAAAAAAAGGTTAACACATGTTTTATAATGACAAAACAATTGTCTGAGGTAACTTGAAAGAGAATGTATTTAATGAACTCATGGACCTAGTTAAGGAAATCTCTAGACAAAGTGTTGAAAGCATCTGTTAAATCCTTCTGGTTACTTAATGCTAAGGAATTATAAGAGAGAGATGAGCTAATGAAGGTGTTTCAAGCTTGTTGAGTTTGAAAATAGTTTCTCATTCCCAGTCTCTCCACCTGGCGAAAGATCTTCAAAGTGAAAAGTGACCTCAGGGTAAAGGCCAAGTAAAGAATACCTGTGAGATCCTTTAAGGCCTCAGAAATATTTAAGACACCACCGGGTAGATTACCCTCTCAGTTAACAGGAAAGAGCTTCAAAGAATCTTAAAGGTGTTGTCCCACAGCAGCCTGATATGCCCAAAGTATAGAGATGTCTGTGCAGAAAAGTTACAGATCTTTTGGGGCAGGGAGTAAACCTCCCAGTGTGATTCACAGGAAACCCACAACATTTTCAAGAAAGTTGTACTGATGATTACACCAAAGGATCCAAAAGGGACAGAGGTAGTTCAGACTTCAAAGAGGCTTCTGTGTCTCTTCAACTTTCTATAAACAGGAAGCAGACTGAGAAAGTTATTCAGCTGTAAATATCAGTCATTTCCAATAAAAAAAGAGATTTGTCAGAGAACAGAGCTAGGAACCCAGAGGGCAGAGCTAAGAGCAGAGGAGAGCCATGGATTAGGAAAATCACTCCCAGGGAGCAGAACAAGGAGCCTAACAAAATTTCCCTGTCCCTAGAGTCAGGAAACCTGAGATGCAGAGTTGCTATGGAACAGTGACTGCTGTGTACTTCCCATCCTCTCTTCTTTGAACAGGAATATCTTTTACAGTTATCCTTTCCCCATCTCATCATTAAATATTGGGGGTGTTGGGGCAGATAACTTGTCTTTTTAGTTCCCAGATCGTTGGATCAAGAGAAACTGTACCTGAGGAGCTGCACCCAAGGAGTCTCATTCGCATCTGGACATGATTCATGAGAAAATGGACGTCAAGCCTGATGCCATGATTGGATGACTTTGGGGGTCTTGGGAGGGGGTGAGTCAATTTTGCATGTGGGAGGTATATGAATTATTGTGGCCAGAGGGCTGACCATAGTAGATTGTTTGCAGAGATGGCCGCAATAACTCCTCCCATCCTTGTATGTATATCCTTTTGCAATGTGATTGCCTTTCCTCTCATCAAGAGGTGGCATCTCTTTTCCCACCCCTTGAGTCTTAGCTGGCCCTGTGGCTTGCTTAAACCATTAGAATGTGGCAAAAGTGGTGTCGTGTAAATTCTAGAGCCTAGAGCTTGTGAAGTCTTGCAGCTTCTGCCCTTACCCTCTTGGAACACTGCATGGAAGAAGCCTGAGCTAGCCCTATTGGAGGATGAGAGTCCACATGCTATAGAGATGAGCTGTTCCAGTCAAGGCTCCCTGGACCTACCAGTCGACAGTCAACACAAGTCACCAGACATTTCAGTGAGACCATTCAGCCCCACTTGAACTACCAGATGATGATATGCACACAAGTGACCCCAGGCAAGACCAGAAGAAGAACTGCCCAGATGAGGACAGTATCATGAGCAAATAAAATGATTGATGTCCTAAGCAACCCACTGAGTCTTGGGGAGACTTGCTACATAGCAAAACAGCATAAAAGACATATGGGATATAGTGAAATGATCTAACATCTTGGGCTTTGAATCTCAGAGGAGGGAGAGAATGGAACAGAAGCAATATTTGATGACATCATGGAGCAGAAACAGTATTTGAAGAGGTAACGGCTAAGAATTATCCTGAACTTATAAAAGATACCAAGCACAGATTTTAAAAAATAAAAAACTATGAGCCCCACAGGATAAATACAGAGAAAACCACATCTAAGATTACCAGAGTAACTCTGCTACCTCGCCCCCTCCTAAAAAAAGAGAGAAAGAAAATCTTAAAGCAGCTGTAAAAGGTTACTTTCAGAGGAGTAACAATATGTTGATAGCTGACATCTCAGTAAAAGCAGTGGAAGCCAGGAAACGTTGGATGATCTTTAAAAGAGCTACAGGAAAACTACTGCCAATGTAGAACTCTATCTCCAGGGGCAGTGTGCCTCCACACTGAAGATCCAAGTCCTTCGACTACAACACTGTGACAGAATGCGAACCAGGAAGGCACCTCGTCTGGAGCAGGGTGTACATTTGGCTGTCTGCCGCTGATGGCCGTATTTCACCCTTTTGTGGGATGTGTGTGTGTGTCTTTTCAAACTATTTTGTTTTTCACTTTTGTAACACACTGGATGTTCCTGTGTTTCACAGTCACCAAGTAATATCAGTTATATAACTAAGAATGCAGGATCTTAAAAATAGATGAGGGCATGAGCTATGTTTTATTCATTTCTGTATTCCTACTAATTCACGTGGTCCCTGACACTTCTAGGCATCTGCCTGTTGAAATTGAAGCAGCTTATCAGGATAGAAAAAATGCTTACTACTTAAGAATTTATTTCCTTTTCTAATATAGGTTCAAGCTGAAGTCCCTGGATCTCCTATATTTGTGATGAGACTAGCCAAACAATCTCGTCATCTGGAGGTACAGATCTTAGCAGATCAATATGGCAATGCTATCTCTCTCTTTGGTCGTGACTGCTCTGTACAGCGCAGGCATCAGAAGATTATTGAGGAAGCACCTGCTGCTATCGCTACTCCAGCAGTATTTGAACATATGGAACAGGTGTGTATATGAAAAGCTGTAAGTTTTGTTTTCTTACACAGGACTACTACTCATTCAATTCATATACCAGTCTGAGAATACTGGAATTTCAAACAGTGGTTCTAGATAATTTATAAGATTATATCCTTTTCCTAAAGGAAAAGTGATTCTACCGTTCTCCCTCTAAACATTTCGGGCTCTCAATTAGTTAACGCTTTTGAAAAAAATTATTTAGTATACTATTTTGAGTAGGGATAAAGAAAAGAAATGTTTGGGGATTTTTAATCTTACTGTTTAACATTTTTTTTCAGATTTTATTTATTTAAGAGAGAGAAGGCTTGAGCAGGGGAAGGGGTAGGGAGAGGGACAGAGGGAGAAGCAGCCTCCCCACTGAGCAGGATTCTGGGATCATGACCCGAGCCAAAGGCAGACACTCAATGGAATGAGCCACCCAGGTGCCCCTAGAGGGAGAGAATCTTAAGCAGACTCAGCGCTGAGCACGGAACCCGACATGGGGCTCTCTCTCAGGACCCTGAGATCATGACCTGAACTGAAACCAAGAGTGGATGCTTAACTGACTGAGCCACCCCGGTGCCCCTGATTTTTTTTTTTTTAATAAGCTCATGATAATCAGGTAGTTCCATTTTTTGAATCTTCAGATGTATTTATTGAAATCCATTATCTCTTAAAAGGTCCTCTACGCATCTCCAAAGTTTATATATTCTGTATTTTTGTGTAGAAAAGAATCTCTCAGCAGTCTTGCACTTGTAGTTTAAGGGTCTGAACATGGGCTTTTCTGGAATAGTGACTGAGTCATCTTATCGGAAATATGTTTTCCATCTCTTTTCTCCTGAATTTCAAATAAGCTAAATATATGGTCATCTGTGTTGGAAGTTTAATTTATACATTGTGTGAATTTATTAAGAATCATTTCTTTACCTGCTGTAAAAAAGAGGCCTCCAAAATTCAGTGGCTTTAATAAGGTATAAATTCTCTTTCGCATTCTCACCATCATTGCAAGATGAGTTAGTACCAGGGACCCAGGTTTATTGCTGTGCCATTCACTAGGAATGGGGTCAGCAAACTACACCTTGTTAGCGAAATCCAACCTGCTAACTTTGTAAATAAAAAGTTATTGCATCACAGCCATGCTAATTTATTTATGTCTGATCTGGCTGCTTTATCACTGCAATGCCGGAGTTGTGTGGTTGTGGCAGAAACTATATAGGCCACAAAGCTGAAAATAATTACTATCTGGTTCTTTAATGAAAATGTTTACCAACCCTTGCTCTAAGGTGTTATTATCTTCATGATTAAAGGTTCCTCACAAGATGAGGTTCATACTATAGCCTGTGGGAGGAGGCGAGAAAGGACTAGGAGGGAAGCATATAAAAATGTGATCCAGAAGTTACCCATATTACTTCTGTTCATATCCCATTGGGCAAAATTCAGTTACACAATCACACCTAGCTATAAGGGATGTTGGGAATTGTAGTCACTAACTGGGTGGCCATATACTCAGCTGAAATTCAGGAGATGCAATTACTAGATGAATGACACACAGAAAAATCGCTGGAGGGCATTTAATAATTTAATAATCTGCCTCAGTCTGCTCCTCTGGCTACCCATTATCTTTTCATACCCCTTTTCTCACTTTCTTACTAACATACTTAGTCTTTCCCCAAAGAAGACAGCCCAAAGTACCAACCAGTTACTACAGTCAGCTCAGAGTCCAGGATCTCTAAGTCATGTACATTTCTCTGCATTAAATGTTCATGTGGCTTTTCACGGGCCAGTGGCCTAAAATACAAGTTATCTACCCCCGGTCATTCCTCCCTCCAGCATCTACCCAATATACAGTGATGGAATATGAACAGGATAACTCCCCTTGGTCCATAGCAGTTAGCAGATCCTTCTAGGGAGTAATTGTGGTGATTTCATTTAGCCCTCTCGCTGCCTCTGGTTCTGCTCTCAGGTAGTAAATCCCTTGCCCATCGTCCCTGAAGTACCTGGCTTCGTTCCCTGCGAAGTTCTTCCTCACTGAGTTTTCTCTGGGATTGGGCTTTAGAGACAATGCCTTCTTTGGCAGAGCTGGTGCAAGAGTGGGGCCACAAATACTACTCTAGTTATCAATCACAGGCTTTTCAAGGCCAGGTTTGTGGTATGTTTAGAAATACAATTCCTTCAAAACTTAGTTAAGTTTCTGGATTATTTGCTTGCACCCAGCTTCAGGTAGGAGTAACCACACTCCCAAAATTTCTAGATACATTAAGTTTTCCTCTACTAGTGGATCTTTGATACTGGGTTGCTTCAGGGTGAGAATCTAACCTGGTTTTGGGGTACAAAAGCAGTGGGTTTTTTCACATTCTGACTTTATCTAACTTTCTCTTAGGGCTTACTTAGTGTGTTGTCTGCCATCCCAAGTTATTGTGGAAGACAGTTTACTGAATGTTTTGTTATGCCTAACAATGAGGCCACAACCTTTTCTTTCAGTCTGCAGTATTTGATTCCTTGCTACCCACTACTCTGTTGCTAAGCTAGCACCCCATATTTTAATTTTTTTTTAAAGATTTTATTTATTTATTTGATAGAGACAAAGCGAGAGAAGGAACAGAAGCAGGGGGAGTGGGAGAGGGAGAAGCAGGCTTCCCGCTGAGCAGGGAGCCCGATGCAGGGCTCGATCCCAGGGCCCTGAGATCATGACCTGAGCTGAAGGCAGACGCTTAACGACTGAGCTACCCAGGCGCCCCTAATTTTTTTAAATAGTAGCATCCTACCTAGATTTTATAATTTCTTTTTTTTTTTTAAGATTTTATTTATTTATTTGACAGAGAGAGACACAGCGAGAGAGGGAACACAAACAGGGGGAGTGGGAGAGGGAGAAGCAGGCTTCCCGCTGAGCAGGGAGCCCGATGTGGGACTCGATCCCAGGACCCTGGGATCATGACCTGAGCCGAAGGCATACGCTTCACGACTGAGCCACCCAGGCGCCCTGAATTTTATAATTTCTGTATTGATTAGTTTACAGGTTAAGCAGTTAATAAAGAGATCCAAAAAATAAAATGACCTTGTTGAGGTAGAAGTTTATCTTTCCTTCCCATCATAATCTCAGGTGAGCTCTCCAGGGTTGTAGGACAGTTCTGCTTCCTGAGGCCATCTTGCAGTTCAGGTTCTTTCTGTTTTGTTCTGCCATTCTTAGTATGTTCTCATCTGCATGGTAGAAACTGGCTTGAGCTATTATGACTGTGTTCCAGTGCACAGGAGGGGAAAAGACAGGAATAGAGGATAAGTAATTTCCTTTCCAAAACCTGATTCAGGGCTTATGCATATTACTCACTAATGCTGACATTACTATGTCAAAACTTAGTAATTAGCTGCAAGGGAGGTTAGAAAATCTAGTCTCTAGCTGGACAGCCATGTTTCTAGGAAGATTAGTAGGAATACTAAAAACCAGGGCACACTAAATAGTCTGCCATGGCGGCTTTTGTTTTTGCCTGCATACACTTACACCTGAGAGGGTGAAGTTGTCTGTGATCCCAAGTGAGAAACAGTTTTCCCCCAGCTCTGGATTGAGTTTGCCATCCATGTCTTAGGGGCCTTGTATAGTAATCAGGGAGGGTGAAATTTACTCTTATGTGGCTGAAAGCCTTTGGTGGCTCTTAAAAACGGTGGATATTTGAGTCAGGGAGAGAGGGAGGGGCTACAGTGGTCCACCAGCTCATCAAGGTTGAGATACTTACGTTGACTTATGTTTCTTTGAGTGTGCGGTGAAACTTGCCAAAATGGTTGGTTATGTGAGTGCTGGGACTGTGGAATACCTCTACAGCCAGGATGGAAGCTTCTACTTTCTGGAACTGAATCCTCGGCTGCAGGTGGAACACCCTTGTACAGAGATGGTGGCTGATGTCAACCTCCCCGCAGCACAACTCCAGGTGAATCACCTTGATCTTGGCTGAGCGAGTTGCCTGCAGGAGTTCGAAAGTCCGAGATGCCCAAGGAACGGGTTTAACCGGTGCCTGATAAGAGAGAAGCACCTCCTATCTAAGTCTCATCTCATGTTCATCTCGTGCTGTATGGGTTGTGATGTGTGAGCTGGTTTTACTGATGTGGTACAAATCTAGTAATACTATCATGTTTTTTAAGCCAGACACGTCTGATAGAAACTGTCACATTTTAGAAAGAAATTCTTAAAATAATATGCTTTTTAATTTTTAAGATTTATTTATTTGACAGAGAGAGAGACAGCGAGAGAGGGAACATAAGTCGGGGGAGTGAGGGAGGGAGAAGCAGGCTTCCCACTGATGGGAGAGCCGGATGCGGGGCTCGATCCTAGGACCCTGGGATCATGACCTGAGCCGAAGGCAGACGCTTAATGACTGAGCCACCCAGGCGCCCCTAAAATAATATGCTTTATTCAGTTAATTGTAAAAAACTTTACAACTTTGTCCTCCACTCCTTTTTTTACTCGTGTTCTGTAATGAAGCAATTCCACATCAGGGTGGTGGTGGAAGTTTTTCCTGGCAAGACTCTGGTAGCACCTGTTTATTTTTGTAATGTTTAAAGTGCTAGTTGTCAATCTTGTTTTCTCCATTTGGCCCAGGAAACAAATGTTATGGGAAACAGTAATGGCTAATGGTGAGGTTTGGTATTATTTGTATTTAACACGTCTTTACCCACAATGGGAGGTCCTTCTGTATTCCCATGAAGTACTAAAGATTTATTTACTTTCTAAGTGGTTTGTGGGAATAATTATGACACAGTTAGGACTTTTTAGCTGTCTGAACTTCTTGGATAGTCACTTACACTGACTCTTCCCTTCTATATTTTAATCCTGCTCCCTTAATGGAGAAATGTCAGTAGACACACACAACTAGGGTTACTTATTTGATTGTTGTAGAATACAGGCTACAATAGAACATTTTAGGTTGGGCTTACTAAAATGAAATATCTTACAGGTAATCTGATAGCCTCCACATTTTAAGGAAAGTACCCATGAAAATTGAGTGACGTTTTTCCTTTCAGATTGCCATGGGGATCCCTCTATACAGAATCAAGGATATTCGTATGATGTATGGGGTATCTCCTTGGGGCGATGCTCCCATTGATTTTGAAAATTCTGCTCATGTTCCTTGTCCAAGGGGCCATGTTATTGCTGCTCGGATCACCAGTGAAAATCCAGATGAGGTAACCTATCACTTAAAAGGTTTATACTTTTTTTTTCTTGTGAACTTTACTATCAATATGGTATCTGGAGGCCTGCTTCTGCAATAATCTTGGGACTTCCTCTGGAGAGGGAAATTTATAGAAGTCTCATCAGAGCAGACAAATAGGTGATCACTGCTCTGTTGACCATTTAATCCAACTTTAGTCATTATAGAGTCCTCATTGGGTCTGTAGTACTGAATGTTGGCCCTTAAGCCTTTCTGATTTTTGTGCATCATTTCTGCTTCCCTATGTGATTAACACAGAGCCGAAACAATGAACATATAAACGTTCTCTTCCTTAGAAATATAATATGGTTTCTCATATTCTTCATTCTCTAACAGGGTTTTAAGCCCAGCTCAGGAACAGTTCAGGAACTGAATTTCCGTAGCAATAAGAACGTTTGGGGTTATTTTAGTGTTGCTGCTGCAGGGGGCCTTCATGAATTTGCTGATTCTCAGTTTGGTCACTGCTTCTCCTGGGGAGAAAACAGAGAGGAAGCAATTTCGTGAGTATAATAACATTTGATTGCATTTAAAAAAATAAATTTGTGCTAATCTTCAGTGAAAGTGTGAGCTTGGGAATGTGAATCATTTACCTGCTACAAAGGTACTGATATGGACAATGTTTTGGAAGAAATATATCTTCAATTGTACTTGCATTCATGTTGTGTTAAATTACGCAGTGTTTGGCAGATGGTTTTGTTCTGAGTCTTTTCAAGTATTTTTACTTTCAAATAGTTTTGATAAATTTATAAAATTGATTGCTTTAAAGAAATAATATTTTTCCATAGAAACAGTATTGTTTTGTGGGGGAGGTAAATTCTTGACCAAGAGCTTGGCACGGTATGAAATCATAGATAAGATCTGCTATTTGTCATCAAAATAAAGGTATGGCTGTAAATGTCCTACAGCCATTTAAAATAATAAACTGCTTGTTACATGAAAATGACATAAGGGAACTATCCACACTGTTTACATAAGAGTCCTCAGCGTGCTATGAAATATACACACAGCTTGTACACATATAACTGCTATATCGTGTTATTAATATTCTATTAAACATAAACATTGAATATTATTTTTTATTTTATTTATCTTAATTAAACATAAAATATTAAAAGAAGTTCTGCTTGCCTGAAAAGTAGGGCTCTAGGAGGTAATTTTACACTTCAGATATTTTAGAATATCTATCAAAAATTGAACTAGTGCTTTCTATTTTTTAATTGTCTCTTTTCTTTCTTTTTTTGTTTTAAAGATTTTATTTATTTATTTATTTATTTTAAAGATTTTATTTATGTGTTTGACAGAGAGAGACACAGCGAGAGAGGGAACACAAGCAGGGGGAGTGGGAGAGGGAGAAGCAGACTTCCCGTGGAGCAGGGAGCCCGATGCGGGCTTGATCCCAGGACCCCGGGATCATCACCTGAGCTGAAGGCGGACGCTTAATGACTGAGCCACCCAGGCACCCCAGTAAAATCTTTTTTAAAAAAATGGGATGATAATGACAACACTGCTTTTATATTCCACTTGGCAAAAGTTAACTGAAGCTTTGTATGGCTGATGCTTTTAGAGGAAACATGAACTCTCTTGTTCATCCAGCCCCCACCGATTCTGCCTCACTCATTTACATTCCCAGAGGGGCATCTGTTGGTATTTACGTGTATAGTCCTAATTAAGGAGACCGCTGAGTATTTTCTACAGGCCACATCCTCTAATCTGGTTCAGAAGCCTTGCTCCTTACCTTCTGATCTAATCTGTACATTCCTCTACAGTGTAAAGCTAACTAGGGTTAACTTTTAGCATATAAAAAATATGGTTTCAGGGGCGCCTGGGTGGCTCAGTTGGTTGAGTGTCCAACTCTTGGTTTCAGCTCAGGTCTTGATCTCAGGGTCCTGGGATCGAGCCCCACGTCACGCACTGTGCTTGGCGGGGAGTCTGCTTGAGATTCCTTCCCTCTCCCTCCCCCTCTGCTCCCCCCCTCCCCACATTCCCACGTGTGCACACACTTGAGCACACGCTCTCTCTCACTAGGGTGAATAAATAAATAAAATCTTTAAAAAATATATATGGTCTCTATAATAAGCTTGCTTCTTGACAACATGCCAGAAGTTCATTCTTCAACTCAGTTCGTTTCTCCTCTCTGCATAACATTAGATCTATATTCTTCAGCTTGGTGTTCATATTCTTGTCCTCCAGAATAACCTCAATCCCCATTTTCAGCATTATTTCCCATAGATGGTAATCCAAATACCACAAGAACAGGACTGTGTCTGCCTTGTTGCTGCTGTTTCCCCTGGACATAGTACGTGCTCAGTCAGTATTTGTTCAATAAGTGGCTTTGTCACTGGTTCCTGTCCTCATATCCTCTGCTTCAATCATAATGTTCCCTGAACACGACCCATGTTTTTGTTCCCCTTTCCCTTTGTTCTTGCTATTTCCTCTGTCCATTCTTTCTTTCTTTTTTTTTTTTTAAAGATTTTATTTATTTATTTGACAGAGGGATAGAGAGCACAAGTAGGCAGAGTGGCAGGCAGAGGGAGAGGGAGAAGCAGGCTCTCCACTGAGCAGGGAGCCAGACGTGGGTCTCGATCCCAGGACCCCAGGATCATGACCTGAGCTGAAGGCAGCCGCTTAACTGACTGAGCCACCCAGGCACCCCTGTCCATTCTTTCATTCACTGCATTCATCAGATATTTTTTGAATATCTGTTGGTGATGGCAATATAAGGTGGACCCAAATAGAGTCTGTCTTTTTTTTTTTTTTTT